CCACATAGCTTTTTGCTGAAGTTGATTGCTCAATTTTTAAAATTGTATAATAGTATGTCTAAATATTTTCCAATGAAAATTTTCCTATTTTTGAGATCCTGGACTGTCTGTTTTATTCTTTTGTCTATGGCACAATATTTCTTTAATCCCTTTTGAGTGGGAAAATTCATTTCCACTCCATTACGAAGAAAAAACATTATGCGTTTTCCTTTAAACGCAGAATAAATTCAGATACATTAGACCTACTTTTATAAAGTTGATAGAGACATTAGATTTTATTTTTTTTGGGGGGGAAGCAAGAGACGTAAAAAATGTACTATGCCCTTAGTGGGACTCGAACCTGGACCTCTCAAGGCCGATATATATTCTGATTCTGGTCCTTGTATAACGGAATAACAGTCCTCTTTTTCAGTTCTTCGAAACAGCTTTAAATTGATTTTCTTTTAATTAATATCGTGTCGTCTCTTCTTTCATCAGTGATTTCGCAAATCAATTCTATTATTTTGAGCTTTGTCTCTTCTTATTTTGCTTCCGTCACCAGCGTGAGAATTGCCTGAATTAGTTATCATATACAGAATTACACAATATAGTTACATAATATTTGATAATTACAGTCATCGTTTAAAAAGATTTGTAGCAAAAATTACGAAATACAGCTATTTTAAAAAAAATAAAATAAAAATAAACCGTGTTTTTTGAGCTTTTTGCGCAAACAATAAAGAATTGAAATTACTGATTTTAAACTTTTTTCGTGTTCCTCATGCCTCAAAATTAACATTAGGACGTATACCATTTCGTCAATAGTGAGTTTGGTAAGCATAAACAAATTGACGAAAAACAGCAAAATTTCACCATTTTTTCAAAATTCCGAGAGCGATACAAGAACGGAAGATAAAATTTTATGATTATTTTTTTCCATTTTACTTAGCTAGGCGATAAGCAACCTTTCCGCGGTAAGGGCTTTTTCGGCGCCCCCTCATATGTACGCATAGATACACATAACGGTATACACAGATAAATTTTCTTTACAAATTTCACGTAAACATCTTAGGTTGCCATTTTGCGAAGAATGTGTTCCTGACCCATGTCTAATTTTCGAAGTTAATGCAAAAAGCGAAGTTAGAGGTTAAAAGCAATATGACCATGCATTAAATTTCAATAAACCTTCAGTGCACTTAATGGAAAACTCGTATGCCGCGCGTGAATAAAAAGTCTGGCAAGATGAAAAGGGCGGCCGGAAGAGGTTCACATTTGAATGATATACAAGGAGGACAACACCTACTCCCACCATGAAAGTGTTAATGCAGATTTTGCAATCGCAGCACTAGTTTGATCTTGATAGAAGATGAAGGCCAGTCACAGAGTGACTTGTAGCAGGATATGAATATTGATAACTTTATTGTATAACTCGTTTTCACGCCGTTATACTTTTCTTTATCCTCTTTCCATCTTCTGTGTCAATATTTTGAGCAATTCATCAAATCAATTAGGAATCTTGACGAGCAACTTAATGAGGCGTGAAGAACAGGTGGGAACTCAGATCAGGATTTGCATTTGGCTATGTACTACATCGCCTTTTGTACGTGAAAATTTGGAATGCTCATAAAATACTTTAATCAATAAATTCAGTCTTAAGTTCAACTTACTTAGCTGAACGTTGCACATAAAGCTATGGCTAATAATACAAATATTACTTAAGATTCCGTTAATACTAAATTTTCTGACATGATTTTGCGGTCTCTGAAAGTTGACATACACATTCAAAAGGCTTCATAATTACATAATTGCGTTTTAGCACGTCGATTATGAGAAAATAAATCAACTGCTGCAAACCAGAGGCTTTTAACAACATTTTTTTGTTTTGTTTTATTCGTTACACTGTAATTACGGAATTCCTTCATTTTCCGTTTCTAATCTCTTACGTCTGTCTCTTATCATGAAAATGAAAACAGAAAATTAACTCTTTTTTTGAAACATGGCGCATTTTATGATAGAAATTTACTTGGTTATTAAGTGGTAGACTGCATGCTCAGGATGTTGTAATAGTCCATAGATGTGATGATGTAATAATAATAATAATCTTCCTTACGCAGGCTTTCAAGGTCTATGTAGGTCAGTAGGTCTTTTTGGCTCTAGACACAGATTTGAACTGTCAATCCCCTGTTTAAAATACACTCTCCTTTTATTTTAGCTATCTCTATTTGTCTGATGGCCACCAGTCAGTTATTCTTAACGCACAAAGATTACTATTTGTTTAGTATGAACTTAGTTTAAAACTGAATTGGGCAAGTATGTTCATTAATGGGTTACATAAACGTATGACATATAAGCGATTTGCGAAGAAGGTTATGCAATAAAATGTGAATGCAAATTTCCTAGGATTATATTAAAGAACTTTACATTTTACAGTTCAGTTAGCTAATTAATCATGGCAAAACATATGACCACTGTATTTTTAAGAAGACAGAGACTCTCACATAGAACTAAGGGGAACATGTCGCATTTAAAATGTACATGAGGAAAATCTTCCCAGATGGGCCCTTTCTTCTCTTTTACTTTATAGTCGAATGAAATGAATAGATTTTCAAATCAGTTTTGGCTCTGTTGTACAGCTTTCTTCACAGCGGGAGGTCAAAATCGCAGCTGTATAAAACAACAGTCTCAGCGTTAGGATGTTAGACATTTAATGCAATCTCAGTGACTACTAAATTCTGCCGCCTGAGCATTCCTGAATTCTAAAACATTTGCACCAGCTTTCGTGCCCGCCCTGATTCAGTTATTGGCAATAAAGATCGCTCGCTAAACAAAACAGCTTTTTTACATGCATATTCCCCAAAGATAACCACCATTCGCCTAATGAAAGCTATAATGGAAAAGTCTGAAATAATATTGAAGCTTTCTGTTTCTTCCAACATATGATTTTCATAAATTTTATTAACTTCAGAGCAGCCTGAGATAAAGCGAACTGTACCTGTTAACATTTATCGTAGCACTGAAGTTAATCAAATGAGAATGTCCAATTTGTTACTATATTACGCCATTCGTGTGGAAAATCTTATTTTTATTCAACACATTTTCTGTTGAATAAATTGAATAAATATACCATTTAGGAACCTATAAAAGATAAACAAACCTCCAAAGAAGTATATATCATGTTATTTATATTGATAAACAGAGATATAGATGAAAAAAATTTATAAATTTTCGCTCGTTTTCAGGTACTCCTCATTTGCCTTTTCTTTTCGGCAATGCACAAGTTAATTTTTCAAAGGAAAATATCTGAAAATCTCACCCAGATAGTTCACGTTCGTTCCTCAACTATGCTCAAGAGAAAAATCATATGAATACCAACATTCTTTTAAGAAGTCATCCGACTTAAGATATTTCAAAATTTGCTTGAGTTTTACTTGTAGTACTTACGTAACAATACGATACAGAGAGAGCAGATGCATTGCATCTCCTTGTCTCTGGCATCTCTTAAACGCCAAGATCACTTTTTTACGAATACCGGCAACATGCTGTGTATGTTGTCCAACGGATCGGCAGCAATCCAAGTCTTAAATTCACTTGTCCTCGATGCTAAAAGTCAGCTAGCTCGTTACCTATGCGTTATGTTCAAAGGTAATTTTTTCCTTGTTTTCAGCCATAGAATGCACTACCGAGGACAGGTAACTTTATTTTGGAACATTCTGTAAGCTAGCCTTCGCATCTGTTTTGTTACCGATGGTTCAATATTTCGTAACTCGTAAACTATGTGTTTCTCACTACACGCTTAGGGGATAGTTTTTGCTCAGTTTCGGCCAGAGAGCCCATACCTCACCCAAATTATTAACGAAAACAATTCCTAGTTTTCAGATCGTTTCATAAGTGGAAAGGAGATACATTTTTAATCAGACCAAATCTCTAATTTGCATAACTGCAATGGGAATAAATAGTGGAAAGAATACAAGTCATGAGCAGAACGCTGAATGCTTTTATTCAGAAAGCATTCTGAACTTGATTTTCATTAGTATAATATGCTTATAAGGTATTTCTCCCGCATTCTTAGCATGCCTTCGTGGTGTAACGGTCAGCACACTCGGCGCGTATTCGATAAGTCTTAGGTTCGAGTTTCGGTGAGGGCACTGCTCATTTTTCATCCATCCTGCTTTAAAAAATACCTAATGTCTCCACAATGGTGCCCGAACTAAAAAACGTGGTGGATGCTGATTCCCCACCTCCAGGATTTGGCTATTAGGTCCCCTAATCCCCAGTCGTTCTTTAAAAGCGGGAGTATATAAGGTATTCATCCTGCCTTCTTAGCATGACTTCGTGGTGTAACGGTTTGCACACTCGGCGCGTATTCGAGAAGTCCGAGGTTTGAGTCCCGGAGAGGGCATTGCTAATTTTTCATGTCTCAAAAGCGCAAGGTTTAGTGATTAAATTTTGATCTCTTAATAGACGAAATAACCTAATGTCTCTACATAAGGTTATTTCGTCTATTAAGAGATCAAAATTTAATCACTAAACCTTGCGCTTTTCTTTAAACTTCACTTATATAATTTGTTTTTCATATACTGCTAAAAAAGGTACACCAAAACAAAGAAATTCATGGCTTTATAAAGCTTAGTTCGCTATTTAAAAGGATATTATGTAACGATATAATATGGCTGATTATTAAATTATCTATTACACGCAATTATAGGACTTCCCCCTTTTCTTTTCTCAATTAACAGAATTCATCTCTTTATTTTTTATTAACATAATCGGATATTTTAAGAAAATAAAATGCATTTTTTATCTGAGTTTGGCACCTTAAGGCTATATTCTTTAGCATGTCGCTCAAGGAAACGTTACGGTTGTGACAATACTCTTTTTCGTCCTCGACAAATTCACGGGCAGTTTATTTATAACAAACAATTTACGTAAAATGCATTTACAAATTCAACAATTAAAAAAAAGCTAATGTATTTATATTAACAATATACGAGTAAATGTAAAGAATCTTTTTAGACACATACTTGGATCTCGAGTTGTAGCCACAACTGTCCCAATTACAGACTGAGGAGCAGCATCTTCTTGAACAAAGAACGTATACCTCGCTTGCTTGAATACTGGAGGCTGCTGATCTGAACTGATGACACTGATGTAGACATGGGCTCTGACATTCGTGACTAATCCTCCACCATCTTTCGCTGATATAATCAAATGATGCAAAGAATGCTCAGTACTCAAACTCTGCGTGACAAATATTTCTCCTAGAAATGAAGAAAAATTTACAGTTAAAATAAAATTTGCCTTTTTTGCTAATCTGCCACTGTTCTATTAAAATTCTCAAGAATACACACTGGTACATGAGCTACTTTATGTAAAAGAAGTGACAGCAAATGCATTGTAAATTTTTCCGCTTATGTGCTAACTAAATGCGTGCTTCGTTTTAAGGAAAATCGAATACCTGCCCCTATCTCAGAAAACAGAATTACCCGGAATGCTTGCAATTTTACAGAAAAATGTATGATTTCTGGTAATATGGAGTTCTCATTCAGAAAAACAACTTAGTGTTTCTTAAAATTTTTAACTAAACGACCTACATGTATGTACTCGTAGCGTTAACATATTTATAAATGTTATTTATCGTGATGCACATGCATTAAGTTGTTCTAAAAAACAAGAGAGGAGAAAAGGAGATTCTTAGAAGAAAACAATATGATAATGAAGTAATAAAAGGTAAACATGCGTAGCTCTTAACAATTAATTGATAATTATAAATTAATTCTCAATTAAATATAAATAAATATACAAAGGAAAAAAAAAGAGTACTTCAGAAGTCCTTGCAACCCTTCAAAAATTGCCTCCCGATCCACTGATGTGTTGCGATCCATAATTTGGGAACTGTTGCTCTTAAATTATCGGCAGTTAATTAATAATCCTCTAGGCTGGCTCAATATGTGGTAAAGCAAAACGAAGTTGCTTTTCAATAAGTTTAATACATGCAAAGCAGTAGCCTGATGAGTTTTTAGCTATTTGGCTTTAAACAGGCCAATGTATAGATGTTTAAAATTTGGATTTAAACAGCTATGCACGCCATTCAAACCTTCAGCTTAACTATGAATATTTGAAAAGCAGAAGGCAGGAGAAATGAACAGAGTAATGAGCATTGAGAAATTACAGTTCTGAGAAAAGGTTTCAAGGTATTAATTTGTCAATTAATAAAGAAAGTCTTCTTTGAAATTTTTGGGAGAAAGCAGCTATTTAAAATGTATTTTAACAATAGAGCGTGCTTTGCTGCATAGATTTAAAGCGCATATATACGCTAATTTACTGTCTGTGAAATTACCATGCAAACTAAAATGCTTCACTTAACATTAAGAATCTATTAATAAAGCATCGAACGTAACCCTCTTTCAGTTCCATTTCAATTTCTTGAAAAATAATAGTTATATCTAAGGTCGGGATTCAGTATCATGCTAAATTTGTAAGGTGTATTTTCTGGTTATGGTATGATGGAAAATGAAAACTAAAAATAAGCAACAATCGTTAAAAGAAAAGGTACGAATGTAAAAAGAGGAATTAAAGCATACAATTTACATATGATTTAGAGGTTGCATCGCCAAATGCAAGTAGGCAACCAAAATTAGCACGATACTGAATCCCGCAATTACACCAAAACGCCTTAGGAAAAGGTGTGCCGGACCTATGCGTCAGTGCATAAGCTGCGATATTTCCGTGTAATCCGAGATTGCCAAAGCGGAAAGCATGAGCCGAAGACACCATTATCACGATGAAATGCGTTGGAAGGCTCTCGGGATTTTGTCAGCTGGTGCAAGACAATCCGCTGTTGCCAAAGAGCTGAACGTGCATCGTAATGTTATCAACAGGCTGTGGAATAGTTACCAAAACCTGTAAAAGACAGGAATCTGGACGCCGGAAGATTACCACAGCGGCAGACGATCGCTTCCTGTTGCTATGTGCAACACGCCGTAGACTACTAACAGCATAACAGCTGGCGTCGCATCTCTGCCGCTGCAAGATGGCCCCATATCCTACAAAACACCGCCACGTAGACTGTATGAAGCTGGACTATACGTCCGGCGAACCGCAATTCGTATTCCTTTGTCCCTATCGCATGTAAGAGCGCGGCTGAATTGTCCCGTTAACATCGCAGTTAGACAGCAGAGCAATGGTGTACTCAATCTCTCAATACGGTGTACATTTCTCTTACATATTATGTACTAAGACAGAAGAGAAACAAGCCAAAGTAAAATTAGGAAAAGCAAGGTGTTGCTCAGTCTAATTTTATACATTATGTACTATTTCGGAGTTTCACTTCACTATAGTCTCTCTACTACACAATACGAATTAACCACGTTATAGCAATTGTATTAGGAGGATTGCTTATGTATGTTAAAAATACTGAAATATAATAGGACTATACTACGTACTACAGTTTTTAAAGTTTATTTCCAGTTTTTAAAGTGCGTAGAAATTACCTGTATGATGACCAATCTGAAACAGTCCAAGATCATTCCCAGAGATGATTTCATATGAAATTTCTCCGTAGGTTCCTGAATCCTTGTCTGTAGCAACAATTACCACTACAGCTGTAGATACTAGCTCTCCTTCTGGTAGACTGACATTGTATTCAACAGGATAAAAAACAGGTCTGTTGTCATTCACGTCAATTACTTGAACTTTAACCATTGCTGTTGTGCTTAATCCACCTAAAAAATTAAAATAGCAAGGTTAATACATAAAAGTTATTTACAATCCATTTACAAAACGTTAAAATTCAGCATTCGAAAGAAAAATCCAATCACAAGCACGTTTATAGAAACATACACTCCTGGCTGTTAAAATTGCTTGACCATGAAGGAAGCGCATAACAAACCTGAAATTTGCGAGAAAGATAGAGCGCAATGAGGTATGCTAATATTTTTCGGCATGCATTCATTACAGGCAAGAATAATGACACCTCGAAGCGGTATAAAATAGCAGACCGAAATGTCGACTTTTAATTCGGAAAGAGTATTGTATTTACTTTTAAATCCTATATCTTTTGTGTTGGATGTCGTGTTTTTCCTCGTGTAAGGAGGAGGAATTCATACCAATGAATCTCAGAATTCGATGGCGAAAAATTCGCAGCCGCCTCGGACTACGCATTAATGCACCGCGCAAATGCTGCTTGCATTGGTCGAGATCTAATATCTGTTATGAGAATTCCAGTCGATGGGTCCAGGAGTGTCATACAGAGCAATGTGCGGGATTTCAACGGCCTCCAATAACCAATACTTCAAACGACTGATCTCGTATCCGCATCGTTGTTAGGAAGCGTACATCTACATCACACCACAGGGATCAGTAAACTGGATGTGCTGTACAGTACCGTGTGTCCACATGTCTGGTGCCGTTACTTCTGCAACGCCACGGATTATCAGTAAGGTTGTTTTGGCGCTACAGCCTTGACTTCCCTTGACACTACGGCACAAGAATCAACCTCTACAGTGATTAGTCCAGCAACACAAATGGATGCATAAATGTTGTCACACTGCTTTTTCAGACAAATTCCGTTTTCGGTTAAAGTGTCATGATAATCGTATTTGTGTGTAGAGGCACCAAAGGCAATGAACGTTGGAAACTTAAATTCTTCATTATCACACCGGCTTAGCACCTACATTGATGAAATGCTACTCCTTTATTCTGTAAATTTCTCGTTGATAATTACATTTTTGAAATTTTAATGCAGCTCACTGTGACATCGCTTCCCGGGGCTTCGTCGTTGCACCTGTCGACAGGATCTCGACACTACATGTTGCCGACGTTGCCATACACTTCTTGAATATCAAAGCGTTGCCCCCCTGATTTGACCGGCACTTTCTCCAGGTCTCTCACATATTGAGAGATTTGGTCGATCACTGCACAGATAACGACACGACAACACCCAGCAGACCCTACGACAGATGAATTCCTGCCCAAAATTCTAGTCTCTTGGAATGCGACACCGTTAACTGCTATCCAAAGCCGGGCATGATGAAACATATCTTTAGGTTCCGACATATAGCTACAATTGTTGCCAGAGACTGATACTAAAGGCACTGCATGTTCTATAACTTAGAATAACATGAGATTTAATTATAATCCTTACATTCTACGGCAGTTGTAAAATAAATATGATTGCTGCTTTCTTTCAAGGTGTAATAATTTTAAATGGCCAAAAATGTATTTAAAAACAAGATTTTAATTTAACTCTCAGGAAGAAAAATTTTCATTATGTTACTTTAATTTCTAATTTTCAATATAATTTCTGATGAGAATTTAATTGAGGTTCATTCACTTATTAATATGCCGCTTTGACTAAAATAATAATATTTTTTATGTTTTTTACAGATATCTACAGAGATCTTAACAGACTGTGCACCTGATTTGTGAGTGATACTGGATTCAAATTTTATTAACTGCTCGAACATAAAATTTAACTTTTTTAAACAAACATCATTTTACGTGTTAATTATTTATAAGCTACTCAAAAAACGTTGCTACAAGGTATAACAGAATCGATGTTTACAACTTTAAAGGGTGACAGAACATGACAAAAATAAAACTTTTATGATACAAATAACGGTAGACTGTGAAATATGAACGCGAAAACATAGTAAGTACGAAAAACAGTATTGTGAGAAATAGCGTTTAATATTTAGAAGAATTTAGAGGCTTTTACTTGATCTGGAACTGGTCATGACTCCAAAACCCCTAACACACGTGATGGCAGTTATCACTATGTTTGAACTACAAAGTCGTGGAAAAGTTTAAACAATCTTTTTATTTAAACAGAATTTAGAACATAAATGCACTCTTTTGTGCTAACAATATCAGCTACAGCTCGTGGAGATGTAACTACACAGAACAGTCAAACTCAAGTTAAAACTTAAACTAGTAAAAAAAAAAAAAAAATTAAATACACTCGAAGTTGGCATCGTAACTTTAAACGGAGAGTCAAAATCAAGGCATCGGCAATGATGTAACGCAAAGCCGAATACTTGCAACAGTCAGAGCTGGCAGGAACTAAACGTAGCATGCACGTGCAGGCCAGAAACATCTCTATCTTATAATTCCAAAGTCCTCAGTTTAAATCCTACCTATTTCATTTGCATTTTACTGCGAAAACCGGAAAGGAGAAGTCGTAAAAAAGATCCAAATCATAATAATTGATTAATTTAAGTAATAACACTAGAAACTTCAAGTAAACGATCACCGACAGCAATACATGCGTCACAACGTCAACGAAGTGATCGGCGTACACTCTTAAAATATACTTCGCAACTATACTAATTCCTGGAGACGAGATCTTTAGAAGAGTCAATCTGCGTCTCGTAAATGCAAACCATCGTCACTGTGATGCATGAATTGCAGTTAATGATCAAACATTTAAATAATTTTCGCAAATTTTCGTGATTAAAACGACTCTTTGTTTTCTAAGTTTTTCGTATTTACTGCGTTTTCGTTCACCTTTTATTCACCACACACAGAGTTCACATTACACCACGTATTGTATCACGAAAATTTTTTATTTTGCCATGTTTTATCGCCCTTTAAAGTTGCAACAGTCAATTTTATTACACAATGTATAAGTTTCTCATATGAGATGAATGATCGGTTTGCCATTTTAAGATTGCAATACTGCATTTTGAAAGCCACAGAAGATTAAACACAAAATTAACAAAGATTTTAAAGAAGGTATACAGATAAGTAATGTGTTTTATATACTGGGAAATAAAAAAGTTTCAGGTAAAAGAGAAAAAGAAAGCTAAGCTGTAAAGACGTGACAGAAGTTAAATTAACATTTTATAAATAAAATTAAAAGGTTCAAACACGAGAAAATTTTAGTTAGATAAATTAATAATTTGTTTTCATCAAAGGAAAGAGTAAAAGTGAAAGTCTTTCCCTGAAACTAGAGCATTTACCTCTTCGTCATTTTAGTGAAAAGAAAGGGGTTTTCTAGATGTGTTTAAAAATTCTTTTGAAAGTGAAATTAAAAACACTTGAATTAGAGTGATGATTTACAAAACGATAAATTTACAGCTCAAACTAACAATTCAACTTCAACTCAGAAACTGAAATGTAAACGATAATTTTTAACGAATAACACATGTAACCGATTATTATTTACATCACAGTTTATAAAATGTTTTGAAACAAGCAAACCGTTTTTTAACGCTGCAAAATATGTGCCTGTGTCACTTAAGAAAAGTTAAAATTAGTAAAAGAAGATTCACATTCCACAGTGAATCATGCAACTTCAGTAAGGACACGATTTTTCTTAAGAATTTTAAGCAAATTTTTCTTTTGATGGAAAAAGTCCAGTTATCAGTATTAATAACCAATAAGATAAAGTTGAAATAGAAAAAAATTCAATAAAAGAACTTCAACAAATACCTCTATCAGTAGCCAGAACAGGAATTTCGTATGAATTGCGTGTTTCGTGGTCCAGCGGGCGAGCAATACATAAATCACCACTAACTTGCTGAATAGTAAAGTCATGCGTTGGCGTTCCTTTTCCAAATGTATAATTGACCATCGCATTTATTCCACAGTCAGGATCTGTAGCTTGCACCTGCAATATAATAAACATTTTTGAATAAATGTCTTTCATTTACATGATAATTATGCGTATGGACAAGCACATTATTATTATTATTACTATAGCTAAAGAAACCCAAATGCATTCATTTGAATAATAAACATAAATATATGAAATTTAAGAGGATTTTTGCAATAAGTTAACTTTAAAGTACGTCGTTAAAAAAATTCTCTAAATTTATTTTACGAGGAATCGCGAGACAGACAGACCCCGTGGGCGAAACCACTTAACACAAATTTCTTCTCAGACTCGATTTCCGTGAAAAGTGTTGGCTGTAGAATTTCTGATAGCTTCTAGGTTAAACATAATCATAAATCAGTCATCCTTCTTATGAAAGAAATCTAAAGAAAGCCCTCGCGTACTTTGTGATAATCAATTAACCAATCATTCGTTAATTAAACACTTATTTCAAATTTGAGGGAAGGGGAAAGCTAAATTCAAGGACATTAGTATCCTCGATTTCGTCTGCAAATAGCTTTACGGAAGTGAATAATAAGCTGGAAAAGGTTTAAAATCCTCTTCCTTTCTATCATAGGGATGTAACGGTTAACGGAACCACTCCATAGATATCATTTATACATGTGAAGAAGGAAGAGTACTGGAACTACAGCTGTAAGAACAGACGAAATTAATGCTTATAAACGCTTTTTAGAAATCACTTGCTCTTATCCGTTATCCTATTTTATTTTAATATGTATTTTTGACTCATAAACCTATTTGTCGAATGCGGATTTAACTTACTGTAATTTGGTAAGACAGTTTATTTCAAAAGGAACCGATTTATAGTTTATTAACAAATGCTAATAACATTGATACCAAATGTTAATTAAATTTTTAAAATACATTGGAAAATAATGGACTTTTTTTTTTTTTTTTTTTTTTTTTTTTTTTAAAGCAGGATACGGGAACAATGAAGAGTTACCTAGGCGAGACTCGAAGCCGGATCTCTCGAATACGCATCAAGTATGTTTCCAATTACACAACGAATGCGTGAGGAAAAGAGTGAGAAAATACCTTATATACTCCACCTTTTAAAGAGCAGCAGCTAGGGATAAGGGGTCTCAATCGCCAAATCCTGGTGGTGACGAATTATCGTCCACACCTTTTAGATCGGGCGTGCCACTAGTAACATCATTAGGGTTTTTTTTTTTTTTTTTTTTTTTTTTGTTGTTGTTTTTAAAAGCAGGAGACGGGAAAAATGTGCAATGCCTTCGCCGGGACTCGAACCCTAGACCTCTCGAATTGCGTCGAGTGTGTGTCCAATTATACCACGAAGGCAAGCAGAAAGTAGAGAGAAAATACCTTACATGTTGCTCCTTTTAAAGGGCAACTAGGAATGAGGGAACCCAATCGCCAAGTCCTGATGGTGACGAATTATCGGCACGAAGGCATAGGAGAGCACGAAAGGAGGGAGAAAACACTTTATAAGTTGATCATCTGACGCCCAGTTCTTTTGAACATCAAAAGCACAAGTTCGGACCCTTTGTCTTGAATTTGGACAATTTGAGGAAAGAAACAATTTCTGGAGGAGAGGCATAAAAGTTTCTTGTTAAACTGAGATATTGTTCAATACTGTACATATTAGTACATAAAATTTAGCATGTGCTGACTTAGTCTCCTTGCTTGCGAGATTGCCTCTAGAGTTTCGAAAATTCTCTGTGCATATAATGAAGCTTCATAACAAACATCATGTACGGATATTGAATCGCAAAATCTTATGAAAGTCGGCAATTATTTGTCAGCTTTCTTCCATGTAACTGTCATATTCTGTGTGTCTTCTTCATCTTCATCTTCCCCTCTTCCTAATCATCTATCTTCCTTCCCAGTACACGTCGAATTATTTTGTCGTCATCTTGAGAGAGTGTGACGGGAACAGTCTACATTAATTCAAGACTGTATCTCCCTTTCATTAACACTAATGTTCTCCGAACATATACTAAATTTAGGATGTCAGACACGAGGGCCAATAGTGTTTTAAAACCAAGAGAATCTTCGGCACTCGACTCTCCACCTAAGAACATGATCACAGGCCACAGTGTACACTAAAAGCGGCATAAATAATGTTTTTTTTTTTTTTTTTTTTTTTTTTTTTCATCTTTCCTGACAAAAAGCGTCTATCAATGTGAATTGCTTCCGAAATTTATGCGCACTACCTTCAAAATTCCCACATCAACGCATAAAAATGGATCGGTAGTTCATCTTTATATTCTGGATAATTCATTGGTTGAATAGGGTTTGCTATATTGGGTGACAGAAACATAACACAAATGTTTTCTGTATTTAACTCTTCAGACTGATAAGCCCATTACATGTTTTTTATATCACAGACCTAAATTAAAAATTTAAATAGCATTTAAAATTTAAATTTAGACCTTCAAACGTGCCGTTCTTTTGATATTGCCGGTTACTAGGTATTTTACTGTATTTTCATTTCTGTAACTAATCACGTTTGAGTAATACAAACTATTATTATCCCTTATAAATTAATTTAAACCTTTTACTGATGTAAATTAAACTTCCATGACCGCACTTTCATCAAATGTTTTATTCTGGATGGCATCAAAAATTCTGATGTTATGAGTTTGTAACATTGAAACAGAAATGGGTGACTGCCGTTAAACACTTTGTCATTCAGATTTTTTAAGTAGGAAACACGAAATATGAGCAATGCCCTCGCCGGAACTCCCACCTGGACATTTCAAATACGCAGCGAGTGTGCTTGCTACCTTTACACCACGAGGTCATGCAGAAAGAAGGGAGAAAATACTCTATATACTCCTCCTTTTAAAGGGCGAATTGGGATTAGGAAAATCCAATCGCCAAATCCTGGTGGTGGAGAATCATCATCCACCACCTTTTACTCCTGGCGCAACTGTACAGTCATTAGGTTATATTGAAGTACGAGGCATGAATTCTACCTTGACCTCTCGAATAGCACCGAGTGCGCTACCGTTACACCACGAAGGCATGCGGAAAGGAGGGAGTTCGTTTTCCTAAAGCAAAGGCAATCAAATTCCTTGAAAAACTTCGGCAAACCAGATAAATTTCGCTAAAACCATGGCAGCCAGAACAACTTAAAATAATTTACGTTCAGTTATTCCCATGTCTATGCACAAGAAACTCTGTTTCAAATGGATACCGATACCCGAATTTCTCCATACTGTAAATGACCATTCTGCGTTCTTAAACAACATTAGCTTTCTTCCTTTCAATTGTACTTATACAAGTAACCTAGCATAAATAAAAGCGATAAACGAAAACCGTTAAGTTATATCCGCAATTTAAGAGGCATTTACACTTATGTGATAAACAGATTGCCATCAAAAAATGGCAAAGCGGATATAACAAAAGTTATTTTTCGAGGTAAATGCACTTAAAAAAAAAGTGCATTTTTTAAAATGTAAACGAAATTTCCCCGCTACAGCTTACTGTAGCAGAGATCCGAAGAAAAGGACAGAGAATCGCTGAAGAAAAACCTTCAGTCCGTGCGAGGAAATAGAATTACATTTTATCAATAATGACCGGATGAATTGACCCCTCTGCATTCACCACGCGATAACGGGAGGTGATACTTTGCAGAGCAAAAATAAAAACCTCTGTTGATAGCTGAAACAGGTTTGCCAGCGATGTTATCGAAATGAGATTCAGCATGATCATAAAGAGCGGATAGACTATCTTGAAGGGAGGAGGAAGATCCGACAAGGCTTAGAGAAAGACAGTTTTCAGAGTCATAAGTAACAGAATAATTTTAGCATGATTCGATTAGCATTTTTACACTGCAACATTTTGAAACATTACTGAGAAAATTTTTAATAACAGGCGAAACGGAAAATACAGTTGTGGTGTATGAAACCGAATCAAAATTATTTATCCCTGCAGTCTTATCATATGTTACGCGTCAAAGTTACGTAAAATATAACTTTTAAAGACAAAAATCACTGCCTATTATAAACAATTAATTTCAATGAAATAAAAAAAATGCTATAAATAAAAGTATTCCTCCATAATGAAAGAATTACATACGCAAATTTAGCATTCCATAATTTCTATTACATAACTCCAGATGCAATACCGTAACAATCATACGCATTTAAAATTTTGCTCATGGTAATTAATTAGCTAAAATAAGTGCTTTGGACAGAATTCTTACAAAATATTTAGTGTAGGCTTAGCTTAATAATATTTAAAGCTAATAACTTCGAAAAAATGCAGTTTAAAAAAATATGGAAGTAAATTTTTATAATAAGCTGCGTTTTATTCTAAAGTGCATCCCCTCAGTACAAAAGATAAAAGAAAAAGATAGAATGATAACTGTATTGTATTTATTAACTCACTAAGGATATAATCCTTCGTAGAGTACTTTCTAGGAGTAATGGTTAGTATTCATTTTACCCCACTCGAGAAAACACAAAAACACACCTATGCAGCTAGTCGATTCACCAGGATTCGGATCTGATCGAATCCCTAGCGTTCACTAGTTTTGTTCGCTCGACTGCTGATACAATTAAAGATCGTTTAACCTAAGCGTAGATTTTTAACTGTTTCTTATGGAATATTTTTGAAACTGAAGATTTTAAATGGCATCATAGTATGATTCATTGCGACAGTTTAAAACAAAAAAGTACTTTTAAGCTAAAAATATGTTTATTAAGTCTGAAATATAATATTTAGCGCTTAACTTGGCATTTCGACAATGTAAATATGGTTTGATTTATTGCATTAATTATATTTCTTTCTTTTATTTATGTATTTTTTAAAGGAATAATTAAAACAACAAAAGAAATCCACACTAAAAATTTAAAGATTTTTGCTGCTGTTTTAGGCACAGTGGTTAATGGCGGCAACTACCCCGCCGTTTGGTCTGGCCCTAGTACCTATGTGAAGCAGGTAAAGCAAAATCTATTTGTCTGAAAGTCTCTCCCCCCCCCCAACCGCTGCTCATGGTAGGAAAAGAAGAGCAGAAGACCAGATAT